CAGTACCCACATGGTGGCTAACAACCATCTGTAACTCTAGTTCCAGGGGATCTGACATCCTCTTCTGATCTCTGCAGGCACTGCACAACATGGGTACACTTACATACATGCAGACAATACACTCATAAACATAAAATAAAATAAAAATAATAAAATAATTTTAAAAGAAATTGAACTGCTACATAGTTTAATACAGACACAGAATGAACTGCACAACTTACATTCCTCTGTAAAAGATATTAATTTGCTAGATCTTAAAAATATTTTACTGCTAACATTTTCAGTATAAATTTATTTATCCACAAATATTTTCAGTAAGTCTACAATGCACCCAGTACTCTTTGTGGAGTAGCAAGAAGTCATAAGAATGAGTTGTAGACATGAGAGACTTGGACACTCAAGGGAAAGGTGTTCCCTTGGTTCTTAGCAGCAATGTAGAGAAAGATGGCGACACTCTTGTCTCTGGGTCTGGAAAGGACAAAGATGATCCAGGAACTCTTACTAGATGGCAGGAAATTAGGAATAGGGAACTTCTCTTACATATTATCTTCTTACTTCATGAACTGTTAAGACCATAGCTACTTGCCACTTGTTAGACATGACCACTTAACTTGCAAAGGTGGATGGGCTTATTTAAAAGAAAACAGAAAAAGCTGCCTAGAACTCTGCCTGTCTGGCTTACAGCTGATGGAATGTCTTCCTCCTAAAAAGCTTAAATTCTCTTGATTTATACAGTATCATCCTCCCTTGGGTTTTTGCCTACCTCTAGTTATTTTTTTCTCTTTGTCTTTACAAGTTTCCCTTACTCTGTCCACTACCAAAATGGTCAAGGACAAAACGGTTCATGTAGGCCTGATGTACACAATGTATTCTGTCCTTTCATAACAAGTAGGAAATCTTGGGGGGTGGGGGCTGAGAAGGCTGAGAAGCTTGTCTTGACTTGTGATCAAATCAGAGGATGCTCAGGTAGCATTTTCTTTGGGGTAGAAGCTGGATCCCCAAGGTTTAGAGGCAACAGGACTTGCATAATTCTGCTATGAAGGAGAGTGAAGCTGCCAGCTCCCATCAGCAGAGCACACTGGCATGGTGGTAGAGACATCTGTGCCAGTCACCAGCAGCAGCTTGATTTGTGGTTTTCTTTTGTGAGAAAAATGTGCATTTTCCTTTAGGACCCAGCATGATGCTGAGTTCCTCAATCCCTCTGGGCAATGGAAGAGGGAATTTTGTCATTAAATCAATAAACAGGAAGCAGTGAGAACCTTATCCAAGATCATTTTCTAGCATCTAAGGAGGAAGTAAGAGCTAATGTGGAAGTCTTGTGGTCAATTGTAAATGAGAGCATGTTAATAGCTATTAATAGCTGTCTTTTCATCCTCAAACTCAAAAATATGGAGACAATTTTTTTTTTGGTCTTTTTGAGACAGGGTCTCCCTGTAGCCCCAGCTGACCTGGAACTCACTATGTAGACCAGGCTGGCCTCGAACTCACAGAGATCCTCCTGCCTCTGCCTCCCGAGTGCTGGGATTAAAGGTGTGCACCACCACACCTGGCAGGAGACAATTTTATATTTCAGTATTCTCCTTCGTTCTTATTCTGTCTCTTCCTCTCTTTTTCCCTCCATTTGTCCATCCCTCCTTCCATTTTCCCTACTCTCTCATGTGAATGATCAGAGGGAATAGTGGGTTTCAAAGTTCATGGTTTTTCTTTTTTTTTTCTGCTGCTGTGATAAAATTCTCTGACCAAAAGCAATTTGGGGGGAAAGGATTAATCTTTAGCTTATACTTCAAGTCACAATCCATCATTGAGGGAAGTCAGGGCAGAAATCCCAAGATGAGGCAGGGACCATGGAGGAGCTGCTTGCTGGCTTGCTCTCTGGCTTGTTCATAGGCTCACACTTAGGTAGCTTTCTTATTAGCCTAGGGATACTGTCATCCACAAAAGCTGGGCCCTCCTGCATCAGGCAATAATCAAAGACATGCTCACAGACCAGATCTAGGAAATTTCTCACTTGAGGCTTTCTTCTCAGATGACTCTGGGCTGTGTCAAGTCAACAGTCAATTCTAATGATGGTAAATCATAAACCTGGGAGGAAGGTCTGGTTGACGCTATTCCCAATGTCTCATGGATTATTATGAGCCAATAATCACTTACAAGCAGAATTCTCACAACATTGTTCAACAGAACTTTCCACAACAATGGAAACACTCCGTATGTATCCTTATCTAATAATAACAAAACAAATTTTACATTTTCCTTCATTTTAATCAACTTAGCCACAGGTAGCATGCCTCTTGGTGTTCAGGGGAGGCCAGCACATTGAGTAATAGCGACCGTTGATGTGACAGGCTGGTTATTCCATGAGGCACAGGAATGGAGTCCTGATCAAGTCTGCTTTGGAAGCAGGGAACTTCCTTGCATTGGATGTAGAAGCCATATTTGATAGCAGGCCCTGGGAATCCTGAGCCACAAAGGAGGGGCAGCTTTTTCTAAACTATGCTCTTAGAGCACTTCCATTAGGATGTTGCATTTTCCTAGGCTGCCCTAAACTGTTCATTGTGTTCACAAGGTCCACATCTTGCCTACGAGTCAACCTTTTCAAGTCAAAGAGCAGAATGTCTGGACAGTTCCTTTAAAGGGAAATGCCACCTTCCCCACGATGAGATCCACAGTTTTTTTGTTGATCCAATGGAGGGAAATAGCAGCTATAGGCAGCAATCAAGGTCACTCTGCCTTTCAAATGCTTCTCACTTCACTAGCTGCTCTTCAAACCAGAGTCTTGTGTTTTGATTCAGAATTCTGCCTCCTGGGACACAGTGCCTCCTTTCCCAGTTCATGGCTCGGGAAGATGACCCCATCTAACCTATGCTGGGGTGCTACACACACCTGGGTTCTATACCTGGTCCTGACACTCAGCTGTGGGGCCTTGGATAAATGATAAAAAAAACTTAAAGATCTTTGTTCTTTACTTGGTAAAGTAAGAGCCAAACTGCATGAATAAGACACACATAAAGCATCCATCCTGCCTCCACAGGGCTGCTCCCAGACTCCTTCATTCCATCAGAGAACATGGCCCTTCTTGTTTCACTACTCACCCTTCCATATTTCTGAAATGGCAATTACCTGTTAATTTGATCTACTGGAAAATGCCTTTTCCCAAAATTCAACTACTTTTTCTTCATTTGAAAATACTCATCTATTTGTATTTGCGTTTTTGCTAAAATGAGTTGATTAGATTTCATGAAATACTAAAAGAAAAATTTAATTAAAAATACAGGAAAGAAGCAGTTTGCTCCCAAGAAGGACTAATGTAGATACTGTGCCTGAATATAACATAAGGTTTCTGACTGGGCTACAAGAGTACTGAGGTGCAAAGGCCTTGCTGGCAGAGGTAGGAAGACAAGTCACATCCAGCTTTGCGTTCCAAGGTGACCTTGTCATGTTAGCACTTAAAGAAAGGATGCTACCCAGTATCTTCAGTGAGAAGCAAGCTTTATGGTATCATTTCTGGAAATGACTCTCTGGGTGTTTTGCCCAAGGCTCTTATCAATACCATTAAACGCAAGTGATTCTGAGAAAACTTAATTTCCAAAATATAGAAAGTAAGGGCCAATTCTGGAGACTACAGATTCTTGTAACACAAATAATGGCCCTAAGATAGACATAACATAACATAGATTTCGCTTTCACTGTCCCCTGGGCGGGGTGGGGAGGGGGGGGATGGGACAGAAAAGCATAGCACAGCTCTACACTGTGCAGCCAGAACAGAAAGTGGAAAACAGGCATGTGACATCCAATACTACTCTGCTTTCTGTGTTTAAAAGCTATAATCAAAATGACTACAAGCCCAAATTAATCATTATGAATGCTTGATTCTGTACCAACTATTCTAAGTGCTAAATATATACAATTTTATTTAACCCCTGCAATTAACTACTTGATATAGGAGGTAGTATCATGACAAAAGAAGAAAAAAAGCTCAAACTGCGGATTGCCCAAGGCTACCCAGGTTGGGAGTGGGGAGGCTGGGACTCAAATCCAGGTAACATGTATCACACAGTTTTCTGCTTCAAAGTTTGAATGTGGCCAGATATTCCAGAAGCCCAGATTTATCTTGTTCGTATCAGACTGTCCAAGTAGCAGAGTTGTGGATGGGACAGGTAGACAGGCAAGTACCAATGGATAGATATTCTAACCAAATGTGGCAAAGGAAAAGACTCTATGCTTGCTCCTCCACTGCCCAGTTCTGTGGGACTGGAAGCTTTTACATTTCTGAGGTAAACTTAATTACTGAATCTGTATCCTCCTCACTGTTGTACAGGTTTGAAGAGGGATGGCCAAGGGTCCTTCACATGGGAAGTATCAGCTCTAATGTGTGATGGTACCTGGCAGGCAGGGGTTCATGCTACTCTGAGGTCCCCTTGAACTTGAAGGGACGAAAATCAATTTTCCAACACACCCTCATTAAGCTGTGCAAATCTAAATGTAATGTTTTGATGGAGTGATAGGAAACTAAGTACAGCACAGGCTGCTTTGAATTCCTATCTTTAAGCAGAGGGTCAGTAACTAGGTCTAAATCCACTTAAAAAACACCAAAAAGCCTTCCTTCCTGGATGCAGAAGGATAGTCTATTAATTAATCACAAATACTTCTGCTCCCTCTGTCTAACTTATCAGTTAGATGCTAATGTTTTTCTTCATTAGGTAGCTCATTGGCAATGAGGGATGAAGATTTTTTTAAAAAACAAAAATCTGCAATTATCTAGAACTGAGATATCATAGTAGAATCAGCCCATGGGCAGCCTAGAATACTGCAGCAGCCTAGAAGGTTAAATATACCTGAACGGTATTAGGGCTCAGGTGGGCATTGGTGAAAGATTTTGGTGGCCTCTATCTGACTTTCTCATCCCAATACTTCTGTGTCATTTGGTCAATGTCAAGTACAAAAAGAAAATGTTCTAAGTTACCTTTATGGGACCATATATCCTGGATATTGATCTTCCCAAAGACAGCAAGAAGATCAAGGCATACAACTGACTGTCTAACAGTTCTCAGATTCTTTAGTGCTAGCCTCCCATTTTCTAGGTAGGAATTCATGGGCCTCCAGAAATCATGTCTTGCCTGAAGACACTCAGAGGGTAATTACAGAGCCTAGAGGACTAGGATGAAGTCTCTTCACTCTCAGCCCTGTCATTTTATCCTACTCAGCCTTCCAGAAGAACAACAGCTACTTTTGGCCTTGATTTCTAAGAGCTACATTTCTGATTGCCACTATTCCTTGAACTATAACCTTAAGAAACAGGTATTGTTACTGATTGGAAATTGTTCATGCCCATACAGTTGGACAAGAGCAAACCAGTACCATTTGGTCCAGGGCTCCTGCTATTATCTCTATAGTGTAATGTCTTCTTGGAACAGCGTGAGCTTGGACATGGTGCCAACACAAGGAACGCAATGAGAGAGGAGGACGTGAACACTTCCTTTGAAGGCCGATTTAGTAGAAGAGTTCTCTGTTCTATCGCTTTCTGAATGTAGGCCTTTCTCAGTCCCAGCTGTAGCTCAGGTTTTTCTCGTTCTGCCTCTGTCTTCTCCTGAGGCCTGGTATAAAGCTCAGTTAGGGCTTCCCATTCTCTGTGAATAACCCACACTTTCATTTCTCCAGGAAGCTCTGTCTTTGGAAGTTCTTTGATGTGATTTTTCATGGTAACATTGACAAATTTCAATTACCAAACACTCAGCATAGAGCGGTTAAAGGAAATAGTTACGGAGATGGGCACAAACACAAAATTAATACTGTCGTTAACGGGTGAGCCTTGAGTCTGGGCAAGGCATCCATCCAGCTTCCGAACTACCTGCCAGGCGATCTCCAGCTCACAGCTGACATTTGTCCTTAGCACAGCTGTTGATGCCTCTGCTTATGCCTGGCTCTTTCTCAGTTTCTCACCCCTTCCCAAATGCTGTTTTTCAGTTTTGTTTTCTAGGTGTTTGCTTCTAGGACAGTATGATATGAATTTTTTTGTGCAATCATCTGTCTGTCAAGAGAGTAGGAAAACAAGGCAAAGAAACAGATGCTTCCTGCCTAGTGGGCCTGCTATATTGGAAACTTTGAATTGGCATTTTGAAGTTAGAAATTATGGAGACAATTCATAAATCTCTCTTGAAAAATTATGAAAACTTATTCTCCCTTACCTTAATTCACTGGTACTTACATCCTCAAATAAAAGAACTCTGACCTGGAACAGACTCACTGTGGAGAAGTTTTGAATGAGGAACCATCCATCCATTCTAAAAGCACCAGAGCCAACCCTACAGTGGGTCCCAGTTTGTCTGAAAGTGCAGGGAGTCATTAAAAAGAAGGACATGGGGCCAGAGATTTGGCTCAGTGGGTGAAAGCACTTTATGCAAGCCTGATGTCTTGAGTATGATCTCTAGAGCCCATAGTGGAAGGAGAGAATTGACTTCCAAAGTTGTCCCTTGATCGCCACAAATGTACCATGGCATGTGTATGCCTGCACTCACACACAAATCATACAGAGATATAATAATACATAAAATAGAAAAAGTTTTCAGTAAAAAGTAAAAAGAAGGGCATGTAGTTGTAGAGGATGAACCTTTGCTCTCCCATAACTCTACAATGCAACTGAATTCTCAGGAACTCTGTTTTGTTATCTGTAAATGTGTGTAATTATAGTAGCTACTTCATACGGTGATTTTGAGGATAGATTGGATCAATACGGTTATGCATTATTCAACAATGGGACTATGTCCTGAGAAATGCATCTTCAGGTTATTTTATCATGCAAACCTCATAAAGTACATTTACATATAAACTGAGATGGTACAGTGTTAATAGGGGCCACCATTAATGTGTGGTCCACTGTTCACTGGAATGTTATATGGCACATGACTATGTAAGTAACACATTTAAAGAGCCTGGTGCCTGGTAGTTCACGGCATTATTAGCTGTTGGCACTACCACTAGTCATCTTGTGCCATTAAATGGCAAAAAATAGCTCCTTAGCTCCATGGGTCTTTTGGTAATTCTGGACTTCAGTTCTCCCTGTGCATGCCAGGACAAGCACTTATTTTGATTGCTTGAACCAACACCATATTCTTGTGACTGCCCAGAAGCAAGATGTTGCTGTCCCAGCCTGAATATGGAGTATCCCTAAACAATACCTTGTCTCCGCCGGGCGTTGAGTTTCCTAAAGCAGGTCCCTTCCACGAGGCGGTTCAGGCGCTGCTGTTTGATCAGCTCTAAGATTTCTGGTTGGATCTTCTCCTTTAGTTCCCTGTTGGAGGACAAACACATCATATTCCGTAGTGTACCTTGTGAGACAGCTGATGATGGCTAGCACTGTGGGCATATGAGAACAGGAATGTGAGATGTCACCTTTCATGAATACCCCAGGATCCTTAGCTGGCACTGTAAAGAGTCATTCAGAGATCCTCTAAATGACATCGAGAGAATCCAGGCAGGGTTACCTGTTGCAGTAATGCACTAGAACCCCTGGCATTTATGGAATATTCACAAAAGTGCCTATGATGTTAGGGATGATCCTCCACAACAAAGTCTTCTGAGAAATTCCTTATTTACAAAGGTACAGATGTGACTTACAGAAATCTAAGACAAAAATTTCTGGCCCTAGGTTTTTCCACTGTAGATTAAAAACAAAAACAAAACCAAACTCCTAAAGGAAAGACAGTATCTTCAACAAATGGTGCTGTCAAAACTGGATCTCTACCTACAAAAGAATGAATTTGGACCCTTATCTTTCACCCTGCACAAAAGTCAACCCTAAATGGATCAAAGACCTCAATATAAAACCTGACACTTGGAAACTACTAGAAGAAAACATGGGCAGTACCCTCCAAGATATAGGCATAGGAAAGGACTTTCTAAGTTGGATACCAACTGCTCAGGCATTAAGGTCAACAATAAGTGGGACCTCATTAAATTACAAAGCTTCTGTACAGTAAAAGAAACAACCAAGGGAGGGAGGAGGAAATCTACTGAGTGGGAGAAAATCTTTACCAGTTACACACCTGACTGAGGATTAATATCCAGAATATACAAAGAACTCAAAAAACAAAGAAGAAAATGCATGACCCAACAAAAAGATGGGCAATAGACCTGAACAGAGAATTCTCAAATAAAGAAATAAATATGGTTAAGAAGCACCTTAAAAAGTGCTCAACAGCCTTAGTAATTAGAGAAATGCAGATTAAAAACCACTTTCAGATTCTATCTTACCGCAGTCAGACTGCCTAAAATCAAGGGAACAAAAGACTCCAAATGCTGGAGAGGTTGTGAAGAAAGAGGAATGCTCACCACTGCTCACGGGAATGCAACCTTGTATAACCACTATGGAAAGCAGTGTGGAGAGCCCTCTAAAAACTACAAATGAACCTACCATATGATCCAGTTATACCACTCCTTGGCATATACCCAAAGGACTCATCCTATTGTAGAGGTACCTGTACATCCGTGTTTGTTGCTGCTCTTCTCAATAGCTAAGAAATGGAAACAACCTAAATGTCCCTCAGCTGACGAACAGATAAAGAAAATGTACATTTACACAATGGGGTTCTACTCAGCAATAAGAAAAGATGAAATTATGAAATTTGTAGGTAAATGGATGGAACTAGAGAGTATTATACTAAGTGAAGTAACACAAACACAGCAAAGCAAGCAATGTTATGTTCTCCCTCATTTGCAGAGTATAGCACCAATTCCTTATATGTGAGTATAAAACTCTGATGTAACACCAGGAGTCAGGAAAATGGAAAGGATACATGGAAGTAAAGGAAAAGAAAGAACCTGGGAGCGGGATAGTCAGGAACAGATGTTACCAGGGGGAGGTGGGGAAAGTGGGGTGTGCAACTGGGAAGAGAGGAGGGAGGGACATGCAAGGGACCACAGTGTGGGGGACAAAGGGAAGTCAGGAGGGGGGGGATGGTGGGAGGTGGGTGTTATTGGGGGGAGGGTAGGGATAATGGGGGTGCTGGGACTGGGGAGGAAAGAAGGGGAAAGAATGGGAGGAAGAAGTGGAGATGGGTGAGTCTTGGGGGCCTAGGAAACCCAGAGGGTCTGTGGTGCCCTCAGGACCCCAATAGGAGGTGCACATATAGTGTCTGAACATCGATGCAGGTATATACTGGCGCATGCTTGGCAGGTGGCACAGTGCCAGACAGAGGAGACCTCCCTTTAAGTGGTTGGTGATAGTGGTCCAGGAGACTTCCAGGATAACACAGGCTATTGCCAAACCTCTTGGTTGTCTTCCAGGACTAGTAGATGGGATCCTACTGCTGAACACAGGACATACTTCAGATACAGGACTTGAAGCAATGGAGCAAGAATTGACCTGAAAGCCTTCTAACCAAAGTTTGGCTATCATAATGCCAGGTGATAATATGCAAACTGCCAAGAGAGAAAAACAATCAAAGGTCCAATCCAGCCCTAAAACCTAATAAGTACAAGGACTGACACGGCAAACTACTTCTACTGGTGCAGTAGTGGCACTGTTATCTGGGGGGCAATCAACAGCTATCTAATTGGACTTGAAGCCCCCTTGGTGGGAGTAAACTCATGGGTGGCACTGTAAACTCAGTCAAATACACATGACAGTAGAGGATGTAGATTGTAAAGAAAATCCTATCTCTTTCATATCTCTAGATAAATGAAATTTCTTACTATATGCTAAATATAGATCCTTATTATTTACAGACAAGCATACCGTAAACCACTCATCAAAGAAGTTTCTTTTTGAAACAGATGGAGGCTACTGCAGAATTGCATAATTGATCAGATAGAGAATATATGTTTGAGAGATGCCCAGTACTAGGTGACACATCTACAGCTGAACCTCTACAACTAAGGCTCATGGAACATAGCAGAACAAGGGGTAGAGAGGAAACTAATGCATCTCTCAACTCACACCAGTAAACCTTCCTTGTACAGCAGAGTATGATGCATACAGAAGGCCACTCTTAAAGACTAGGAGTCTTTAGGACTCCTATATTGAACTTCGCCCACCCACAGCTCAAGGACCATTGTGGAAGAGGGGCCAGAAAGATTGTAAGAGCCAGGGCTGGTTCATAAACACAGGGAAGTAGAGGCTTTTAGGTCACTGGAAACTTGCACATGTGAATTTGTGGCAATGGTGTCATCGAGAACAGAACCTATGCCAACTCAATTGAACAAGGGTCCAGAGGGGAGGAAAAAGATGGGTGGTCGGCTGGCCCTAGACTGAGAGCTGTTGGAGGCTGGTTGCTGTTGGGTTGGGGAGAATATGCATCACACACAATCTCTGGATGGACTGACTGGACTTCGGTGGACAAATTTGCACTGAAGGGCATCTGGGTGCAAATGCATAACTGGATAGGACTTACCATGTGCAGTGGAATGCATGGAGTCTGGTGGGAGGATGGTGGAGGCATGGGTGGGGGAGGGGGGTCTGGATTTGATTGAGAACTGCTGCATAGGAATACAGAAGTTCAATAATTTTTTTTTTAAAAAAAACCTTCTAGATTACTTTTGTGATCTGGATAAACAGGAATATTGGGCAACCAACCATGCAATTGCTGTCCCATAACTAACTGTCTCTTGAGCAAATAATAAATCACAGGACCAGTTTTGGTTTCTATTACATCTCTCACAAATGAGAGCCACAACACTGTCCTAGATTCCAGCCCACAGAGATTGGGATAATGAGAGGACAAATTAAAATTATTTGTATCTTGTCTCAGGCTAATGGGATATAATTTAGTTTTAGATAAACTATGCTGCAAAGATACCATGATAGAGTGCAATGGCTTTTTTTTTTTTTTTTTTAAGCTTTTAAAGGAATTTTTATGTTAGGAAGTTTTATTAACATTCTGGCCTTTGAGGTTAGTAAAGCCAGTGTTATTCCAGTCTAAGCTGCCCAGGGAGCCTCAGAGCTCAGCTCTCAGAACAGTATTGAAAGTTCTGCGTCCAACATGGATCTAGTAGCCAGAAGACTGGATCTAGCCTAAGCTGTGTCTGTAACTAGTGTTTCCTACATCTCATCTAGTCTCAGTTTCCTAATTATGAAGAGGGGATGAGAATAGTTCCTGAGCAAACACTGTGACTCCAAAAGGAGGCAGTGTTAGTATAAGTCTATAAATGCTGAACAGGAATGCAAGACATCACTAACTGAGTTTACTTTGGTAATAGTAATCTTCCTTTTGCTCAGTCCAAACATTCCAAATGACCATTATTACATGTATTTGAGGCTTACATATTCATCAGCTTTGGCCTCAACTTGGAAGTTCTTCTGGCACTAGTGCATAGGCCACCTGTTCTCACCTGGTCCTCATTTAAAGGTTGGGAAGGCATTAGTGGTTGGTAAGCACCTATGAGCCTGGTGTGTACTATGTAATTTTATCTCAGTTAATATCATTCCCCCTGGATAAAAACAAAATTGAAGGATAAGTATTAATATCATTATTCCCATCTGTAAGATGAGGAAACTTCTCAGGGTAGAAGAAAATACAGACTCCAATCTTCCTTGTGCTAATGTGAACAAGAAAGAAAGAGAGTAACATAAAAGGATTTGGGAATCTAACAGGGTAGTCCTGTACTCTACTCCATTAATGTGATGGTTAATCTTAACTTTCAACCTGAAGCAATGTAGAATCATCTGAAAGGTCTTTCGGCATTCCTGTGGGGGATCATCTTGATTAGGTTCATTGAGGTGGGAAATCCTGTCCACTGTGGGAGGCACCATTCTCTGGGCTGAGGTCCTTGACTATATAAAAAGGAGAAAGTGAGCTGAGCACAAGCATTCATCACTCTCTGCTTCTTGACTGTGGATGAATGTTACCAGCTGCCTAAGTTACTGCTGTGACTTCATTGTCACAATGTTCTTTAACCTCAAACTATGAGCCAAAATAAGCCCTTTCTCCCTTAAGTTGCTTTTGTCAAAGTGTTTTATTACACTCACAGGAAAAGTTAACTAAGACAATTAATAAATATTTCAGGGCTGATTAAATGGCTTTAAGATCCTGCCACTTGAAAGTGTTCCCGCTATAAAGTATGATATGGAAATACTGCCCTAATAATACAGCTTGGAGCACTTCTCACACTTTCCTTGCATAGGTCCCTGAGGGTCTCAGCTCAGGCTTTCAGATTACTAAGACCATTTATTATCAGTATTCAGTTTGTAAAATAGACTCCATAAATTTCAGCTTTGGTGAACTCTGAACTGAATGGCAAAGAAGGTGAGGAACTGCATGGGCAGCTGCTTGTGGCAATAACTCACTTCTGCCA